ACATCCAACAAGTGGGAGTTCCAGAAAAAAATAAATAAAAGGAAGGAAATTACCAATGAAATCATTCAAGAAATGGTCCCAGCACTGAAAGACATGATTTTGCAGATTGAGAGGGCCCACCCAGTACCCACCCAGTTGATGGAGAAATATCCTCACAGGGAACATCATGGTGAAATGTTAGCTCTCTTGAAACAAGAATATCTTTAAAAGTTTTCAGAAGGGGATGGGGAAAACCAGTTCATACGGAAAGGTTCAGGAATGAGAAAGGCATCCACTTTCCCAAACTCTAACATACATGGAGGCTAAGAGACAAGGAGGAAAGCCTGAAAACATCTGAAAGAAGGGATGCAGGCTAGAATCCTGAATGCAAACACACCCTCCCTTAACAGGGGAGGTGGAATACAGACACTTCCATCCATGCAAGCTGGCCGCCTTGTCCAGGAAAGCACTGGAAGATTTGCTCCACAAAAAGGAAGGAATAAAACAAGGAAGATGAAACAGGGCCTCCATAATAGTCAAGACAATGAAGGGTACCCCCACAGTGATAAAGAAGAGAAATCCCAGGACAGCCGCGGGCTGTCTGTGGCAGCCATAGATTGCAATAGGAGGTCAGAGGTTCCGAGGGTAACGCTTTAAGGGCAGGAAGGAAACCAATAGGTTATCAGAGGTCTCTGAACATAGCAACAGATCCACATAAGCAAGTTTTTGGAAATATGAATGCAAATACCATAAGATCCAGCTGGAAGAATTGAAAGTGATTGCCTCTGAGGAGGGAGAATCTGGCGAGGAGGGGGCAAGGTGGGTCAGGTGTTTGCTCTTTTCCTTTATAAGCCATCTAGAATTCTTAGACCTATATCTGTAGAATTTTGATAGAGAATAGTCTTTTTATATGAAAAAGTAGTAGCAAGCATTAAATGTATAGTTATTTATAAGAGACTAAATGAGGGCTGAAGCAATAGAGAACATGTAGGTTATGTGCTCTGACAATGTAAATATAGCACAACTATTTTAAATGAGGAAAGAATAGAGAGTGCATATGCAGAAAAAAAAGGAATCATTAACTGTTCTCAATAAAGATATGGGCACGGTATTATTAGTATGCTATTCTGAGATGGTTGTGCATATGAAAAAAACAAATGAATAATTGTAGAATATTCCAATTCTATTTCCTGTGCCCCGGAGAACCAGGATTTTTAGTATGGAATCAAGGTATATATATATATA